GAGCAGTATAATTTCTCTTTCAAGTAGATGAAAGCTTGAATGGTATATTAGTTCCTCTGCTCATGTGACAGAAAATCCTTACAAACTTGTTTTGTTTTTATATGATTTTATAGTATTTCATTTAATATTATGACCTTGTGATTTTATAAATAACTTACATGATTTGTTAACGGTAGGATCTGCCCAGAGTCATTGAGAGTCAGGCAGCATACAAGTTTAATTTTTTATTTCTATTATTATTATTATTATTATTATTATTATTATTATTATTATTATTATTTCCAGTCTGTTAGCTTGGAGTTTAAATATAATTAGATTGCTTTTGTTTCCATGTGTTTAAATATCAGATACACTTTTCCTAATTTGAATTCTGGTTATATTGGCATGCATAACATTTGTTTGAATTAACTCTTTGGCTAATCTTAGTATGGTTTAGAAGGTGAGTTATACTACTATAGATTGCCAACTGAACTGTACTAACCAGTCTGACCTGCTTAGCTTTTTTTCAAGTTCTGCCAAGACCAACTAGGTGCTGCCACCTGCTGTGAGGTATACTTGAATATCAATATATGATAGTTGCAGTATCAAGCAGAGTATGTTTTATTATACTTCATGCAGCGTATACTTCCATTTAATGACTTATTTGCTTGTCTTATTACTATTAATCCTTATCACTATCAAAACTTACTAGATTTTGAGCCAAGACAAATGAAATTAGGATCAGTAGGTTTTGAGTATGTAAAACTGTAACATCAAGTAAGACATTCTGAAGGTCCACTCATAGTATGAAACTATAGGGATCAGACGGGATAATTTAGGCACAATGGTTAGGAAGATACATAAAAAAAGGTTGTAAAATATTTAAACAATTTGAAATGGTGAATGGTAACATTAACATAATATTAAAATCCATTCTCAGGCTCTCAAAGCAGCTGTGCCAAGATTTAAGAGAATATTATGCCTAGACACTTCATTTGCATGAAGTTTGGAAGGGTACTTCATAGAGCATCCCTCCAATTGGTTTGTACAGTTCTGCTAAATAGCTGTTACCTTGTATAGTGTTAACAAGTTTAGGTATGGTTGCAAGATCCATTTGGAGTGAGTAGATTAGGGATATAAAATTTCTAAAAATGTTGAATCCTAAAGGAAAAATCTTGTTTATGTGTGTTTTGTTTTGTTTTAAAATTCACATTCCTGAAAAATGCTTCTAGTTTTATTTTTAGCATTCTTTTCAATTCTGTATCATAAAATGCATATCTTACTTTACTTTATCCATATCTGGCATATTTAAAAGTGCAAAGTGAGTTACTAAGCAGATTTACATGGCCATCCATCTTAACAAATAACTCTAGGCAGCTAACAACACACAGAGAAACATACGTTAATATTAAAAAAAATGAAACATTAATTCAAAAATGATCAAGGCATCTTATAACCACTTGACTACCCAAAACAAGACATCCATATGAGGCTGCATTAACATTCCAGCCCCAGCTCCTGAAGAAACAGCTAGGTCCTCACAGCCTTCCAGAAAACCAACACAATTGGAGCCATCCAAATCTCAGGGTAGAGTCTGTTTCATAGGGAATGCGTGACAGAGAAGGCATACCTCCTTGGTCCCATTAAATGCATTGTTTTGCAGAAGGGATCTGAAGCATGCCCACTTTGCCAAATCTAGGGGGATGGGCAAAAATTCCTGGAGGCAGGTGGTCCTGCAAGTAACCTGGTCCTGTGCATTGTAGGGCTTTAAAAGTGACAACCAGCATCATGAATTGCTCTCAGAAGCCATCTGGAAGCCAGTGCATTAGTATTCTCACAGCAGTAGGGTTATGTAGTATGCCTCAAACTGCTTGCATTGCTGCATTCTGGACCAACTACAGCTTTCAAATGCTTTAAGGGGCAGTCCCATGTACATTGCATTAGTCCAGCCAGAGAATAACTAAGACATGAGTGATCATGAGCAGTGGATCCTAATCCAGTAACAAGCCCAGCTGGCGCATAAGATGAATTTGTGCAAAACCCCTTTTTGCCACACCTGCCACCTGCTCAACCAGGAGCTATGAGATGAGAAGGGCCGCCAAGTTGCGCATGAACTCTGGGGGAATACAACCCCATCCAGAGTTAATAATGGAAAATCTCTAGATCTACAGGGTCCTAAAACACATATCCACTCAGTTTTACTAGGGTTAAGTTGAAGCCTGTTCTTCCCTGTCCAGACCCTCAAAACCTCCAGGCACTGGGAAAGAACCTCAACAGCATCACTTGGACAGCCTGGGGAAAAACGGTATAACTGGGTATCATCAGCATACTTACATTCCTTATCCTACACCAATGAATGACTTCATCCAGTGACTTCATATTCATGCTAGGCTCAAGTGGGGAAAAAGCTAAACCCTGAGGCATCCTAAAAAGAGAAGGTTGGAGATCAGATAAAAATTGCCAATGCTGTTGGATCCAGTGATGGTTTTTTAAGAAGAGGACAAACCACCATTTCCTTTAAAGTAGACAGAACTTTTCTTCCTGCAAAGAAGCAGATTAATAAGTGTTCAGTAGTTAAGAAAATGTACTGACACAACAACTAATACAGAATGACTCCAGAAGTTGTCTTTTAGTAAAAAAACAAAAACAAAACAGTATACAGTGCTTTCTTACACCTTCTTTGTGCTGCTTTGTTTTTTTGTGGATCTGAAAAGTAGATTCACAGGGCTAGGAGGTAATGTTTCTTCTAAGTCCAAAGCTTTAAACTTGGTTTGTCCTCTCAAATAAGTAATTTTTTTTTCTTTTTAATCTTTAGGAATAAATGCATTCTTGTCTGCTCCACTGTATCTTCAGACTAGTCAGCTGAGCTGCCATATAGAGAGAGAGAAATCTGTAAAGGTGGACAAAAAAGCTCCCAAGCAAAGAAGACAATGGTTCCTCCTCCTTTCTGTTAAATGATATAAATGTATTGGGCTCTTGAAAGTGCTGTCTACTTTCACCATAGGAATTATGCAAGGGAACCAGTTGAATGCTTTCAGTTTTCCCCTGACCACCAAGCAGGAAATCCTCTGTTGCAGAAGTCACTGATTGGATGAGCTGAAGTGCCTTGATTGGTTGCATCACCCTGTTTTAGACCCATCAGGAGTAGTTACAAAATCCCAAGAACAAAGGGACCTTTTAATCTGATGTAGTGGATTACCAGAGGCAAAAGTGTAGTACCTGTCTCCCAGCATCCTGGTGAACCAACAATCCTACTTGTAAGAGTGAGAATATTTTAGATCCATACTAGGAAGCAGTGGGGCAGCAAACTTGACAGTCAAGCTGTTGATCTGAGGTTCAGCCATTGCTGGATTATCATTTTTGTTGTGTGTTCCATGATGACTGTATGAAGATTAGAAAATGTGCATAGGCATGCTGGTTGTTCACACATCCCACTAGGCTAACTTTGTGCTTAATAGCTATGTTTGCCTGACACATTTACCATGGTTCACCTAATGCACCTAAATGTGTTCACACACTAAACACTAACATTTTAGCTTTGTGGGTTGTACAAACAAGTGATTGTGATTTATCTATGGCTTCTGTGAATTCACCCAATTGCATTAATTCAGTAACCGTGGTATGCTTTGCCAGTGCATTAACTGTCTCATTTTAGGCATCAGGCCATACCATGATCTGAACTTCCAGATATAAAACAGTCAAACCGACGATTTAGAAGTGCTGCTCTTTTTCTGTTTCCCCTCCTCTCAACATTCAGCTTCATATGTTCATTTCTGCCCCTGTGGTCATCAGCCTCTGCTATAAACATCATGTTAGAGAGTTCTTGTAGTTTAATATATATTTCAGGTATTTATTTTAAAGGGTTTGGCTATTCTGGTTTCTCTTCTGATAATATAAATCTTTTGCCCTTAAGGGCTTTGGATATTTAACATCTTAACCAGCATGAGGAAACATTTTGTGTGTGTGTGTGTGTCTGTCTCCCTCCCTCCCTCACAAAAAGCTACATAAAAGATTCTCTGGAATTTCCTGCCATACAACTCACTGGACAATAAAAATTAGACTGATTCAGTATCCAGTACTGACTATTAATCTTTTGAATGTCGATCAATTTAACAAATTTTCTTTGTTAAAGTTATATTGCTTAGCTGATTGACAGCACATAGACTTGAATATCAACATAATCAAAAGGCATTGATTTGTTACACTTATATCCCACTTTTTGTCTAAGAACCCAAGATGATAAACATGAGAATTTCCCCTTAATTTTATCTCTTATTTTACCCTCAACAGCTTTGTGAGATAGGTTTTGCCAATCACTATGTTCCACCCAGAGAGTTCCATTGTGTGTGGGGATTTGAATTTGGATCCCCATCCAATATCTTAATCATTTGGTTATACCTGTTAAAGAAGACAAAGATATGTTATCAAATACACACCTTATACAACCTCTTTTACAGTAGTTAAACATATATGAAACCCGTATGTTCAAAGTCAGTATGCCTCTAAATATCTTCAGTCCAATAAGAGAAGAGGGCTGTAACATCTTGCCAGTTTATGGGCTTTTCAGTTGTCTCTATTTGACCACTGTTGAAAATAGAAAAATATATCACTGATCTGATCCATCAAATATTCCATGCTCTTATGATCAAGGGCATCAAACTATTTTTTTTATCTCCAAAGTCACTTAGTAATTTAAAAGCTAACAGGAATATCTTTGTTTATCCCTTTTTTAAACTTTGTACCTTACATTGACTAAACAACTGTGCATGGATATGATCTTCAGATGTAGAAGGAGCTAAAAAGAAATAACAATATTTGGATTATTATTTCATTGATAAACATTTATGTCTCATATTGGTATGTATATAAAGCTAAATATGTGATTTCAATTAGTAAATGTTCTATATACTTTCAATCTTTGTAAAATTTTAGTGCACTCCTACATGGTTTTAACTTATGAATGCATGAAGTGAATACTGGATCCTAATAACTAGCTTATATCCTTGTGTTTTAATATTCAGGGCATTCTGAGATGAAGCTAAACTGGAAATTAGATAGAACCTCGAGGCCAGGTTCAGCAACAGTTCGGGTTACAGATCTTGGTTGGCAAGGTCTCCTGAACCCCAATCCATCTGTTAAAGAAGATGAAGAGCTACTTGTGGATGAATATCTTTCTCCCAACAAGCTGGTGAGTAGATGCCATGTTACTATATCTATATTATCCTTGCTAATGACCATTGCACTACTTTGTTGTATCTGAAAGAATTGCAGTCAGATGGAGCTATCGAATATTGTTTTGAATGATCCTGGTTTTTGCATAACTTTTTGAATTCATACATTTGTTCAGACTGAGTGATTAGATATCACATGAGGCCTGATTTACATTACACTAACTTCTGTTTAGTTTTAAAAGGGTCAAAATAAGGTATATTTTAATTAAAATTTTAC